CCACAAATTACAATAATGGTGGTAATTAATAATTAAAATGCTTTGATATTAATATTTAGGGCTTCACGGTTTTATTTCATTATATTGGCGCTGAAGCTTATTACAATGAGATGCTTTGAGGTAAAATAAAAATTATGAGAAATAAGATTGCATAGAAGTGAGAAATATTCCTATATATATCGTAGTTAAATTCCTAATTTCACAGTAGATTTAGACACGCTGAGGATTTAGGTAAAAAGGATATCAGATGTATGACATGTATCAAAGTCTCTAAAAACAACATATAAGTAAGGACCTTTAAGATTTATTTGCTATAGAAAATAAAACAAGTAATAGCAAAGTAAATTTAGGGTTTACAAACCAAAGCACATCATTCATCAAACACGCGCACACAATTATTACTCCATGTATATATATATATATAATATATCGAAGCAATCCTGTCCGGGCTCTATTGTTTTGTACAATCGACAGGAGCAAAAGAAACTTTTTTCTGATCAAGATCATACTCCACCCCAAAATCAATCATCTGAGCCACATTTCCGTAAATGGGCATTCCACCTGTAGGAAGCATTGCAAAGCATGTAACATCGTTGGATATGGGACGGAAAAAGTTCTGAGGTTTTAAGGAAAGGTTGGCTCCTGTAAAATGAACCTCAAAATTTGGGAAGTTCTGGATGGAGTTAGCATTGCTGTAACACAATTTGTATGGACCCTCCTCTACTATGAATTGGTCGGCTCCAATGGCTTGCTTCATCAAAGCTTCAACCTGCTCATACAAGCTTGATGGAAGCATTGTCAGTGTCGTCCCAGAATCAATCACTATGTTCCCTTGCTTTCACCTGTCTGCACTGTCTGCTGTCCCACAGTGATACCTGTCGATGAATGGCCATTTCACACAAACAATTTAGACCAGGGAACAATTCAAGAGTTTAAACTCATAACTTGAAATGAAAATAAACTAATAACCTCAGAGTAAAACACAATACAAGTAGTACCTTCAAGGTTGAGGAAATAAAACGAAGACAAGGAACCAGGTTTTGTGATCAAGGGAGTGAACACAACCGCATTTCCTGATAGCGCTGCTTCTTCCCCAAACCTTAGTTTACTTGTGGTCTTTGGACTGTAAGGAGGCAGACAATAGGAGAATTTGCGACCTACGTTACCCATTTGTGAAACTAACGACAAAGAACCCTGACCAAGCCCAACAAGTCCTGCGTTGTTCATGTTGTATCGTCCATTATTGTTGTGTCCACACCCAAACACCGTCTTAGGAAATGAAGTAGCTTGGCCGAAACTAACTAATTCTGTACCCAATTCTCCTATTGTGTATGACTTATCCCCATACGAATAGAAATAGGTACACTCATTTGATGTTCCACATTTAGGATACTGTTGGCCTTGCACGTTGACTTGGGGCAAAGCTTTACAAGGGTCTGAGCCACATAAGAGAGTCATATAAGTGGAAGAACTTTTTGGATCAAAGAAGGGTGCGTTTTGCGGATAGCAATTAGGACAAGGTGAACACTGGAACCAAATAAGGTCGCTTCCTGTGTCTGCAAGAGCCCACCTCTCTACAGGTGGAGTCCCAACAGATATCTTCATGAGATAACTTGCATCGTTTGGGAATATATCAGTTACTACTAACTCGCTTGTTTCAGCCATGGAAGACTGGCCAAAGCGATTAGCTCTGGATAGTGAGCGCAGCGCGGCGTTCTGAACTCGCTCTGAGTGGGTCATGGAGGAGTTGAAGAATGGTGATAATGGCGAGTCACGATGAATGAGGTCGATGCTGAAACCTTTTGGGAGCTTATTATTTGTTGCAGAGACATCAACGAAAAAGGTGGAAAGAAAGAGAATAAGAGCGAAAGCGAGTGAATGAGGAAGCATGTTTGAAGAATGCTTGAAAAACACAATGGATATACGACTGAGAAGATTTGATGTGCAAAGAAGGAGCTTGAGGTTCTTTATATAGAAAAGTTAGGTTGATTTTAGGGTTACAGTGGACACGGATTTGCGTGATTTCTCGGTAATATACTGCATTGACTCATATTGTTATATTCCCTCTCATAAAGGTATACCGCGTGATAGTCGGAACCTAAAAGATTTGCGTGATTTGATGAGCTTACAACCGAAACTGGTCCATGTGATAGTCCGGTTTGCCTCCAAATTATCAGTAAACATTCATCTATATGTCAAACTAAAAGATTTTGCTGTTCAATTGTAAATTCGAAACTAAAATATCACAATGTTTCTTTCCTTCTCTGCATAGGTTGGGAGTGCCAGCTGCCCTTTAATTTCTGGCTCTTTCCCTATATTTTTTTAACTTTTTTACTGCTAGATTCTATATAAAATGAGTGACATTTTGATATATTATTTATAAAAAAGTAGTTTAGTTTTCAATTTTTTATGATTTTTTAAGAATTTAATACTCAAATTTTCTTTTTAACTTAGAGTATTAAATCTTTAAAAAATTGACAAAAAATTGAAAGTTAAACTATTTTTTGCAAATAAAATATCAAAATTAAGGGACAGCTGACACTCCGGCTCCATATATTTATGGAGAGAATAGACTCACATTTGTTGGTCTCTCCTATGAAGAAAGCCAATCATGCTGTCGGCGTTTGCTTGTGGAGGTGGGTGGGTTATAGAAAGAGCTGAGGAAATTAAACAGGAATAATAAATGAGCGAGGAAGGAACATGAAGGAAAAGAAGTGTGAACAAAGGACATGTTTGACGAATATTGGCAGAGAGAAACTGAGAAAAACGAGTAGAGGAAATTGAGAACCAAGAAAATAGGAACAGTTCGATGAGTGAGGAAGGAGCATGGGGCAGAAAAGAATTCCTGAAGAATGGTAGGAAACACAATCAAACCGAGTAACAAATGGGAATAGATGAGTGTGAAAAGAAAATGGATGTTTGAGAGACGCAAGAGAAATAGGAATAGTTAGATGAGCTTTTATATTAGAATGGAGTCTGCTTTGCGTGATTTTTGGGTTAGAAAGTTTGCATTAACGTTTCCCAAGGGCACGTCATAGAACTAGAAAATAGATTTGCGTTATCTTTGGCTTATACAGGTCTAGCTAATTCATTACCATTATCATTTTCAATAATCCAATCAAACATACATTTAGAGAGCAATATTTATTTTTAATTTTGGATTATATACATATATAATTATTATGTTCCATCAAATTAAACTCATTTGCATTCATATTTTCATTCCCATTCTCATTTTTGGTTCGCATTTCTACTAGAAATACTCCTGTGTGGGAACTAAGGCTTATGTGGGAGAATCTAATTGAATATGAAATTTTATACTACCTTCGGTCCTAATTATAAGACCCTATTTTTAGATTATAAATGAGATCTTATAATTAGGATTGGAAGTAATATTAAGTAGTCAATATTTTGTATTAATTCATATTATTATTGGTATATATTTTCTTTCTCGTAGGATTAGTGATGAGTTTAATTTCTCTTGCTCACCAATTACAATAAAATTGGGTTAATGTGCAAATTTATTCAGAAAGTTTTCAGTCAAAAGTGTTAGGCATCTGTCCCAAAAATTCAAAATTGTAGCAATATTGCTTCTACCAAAATTTTATTTTATTCATATTAACAACACAAAATGAAATGAAAATATGAATTAATTACTGATTGAAGTCATTACAATATCCAAAATGAAATTACAATTACAACAAACGTTTTATCGCCAACAAAAGTTGGTCTAGTTGGCAAAAAGTCGGTTCATAACCCACAAAGTTGTGAATTCAAATCCCACTATCGATGTAAGAACCTTGTTGGTGAGCGATCTGTAAGTATCCTTATAAGCGCTCCCTGATCCTAAAGTTATGCTCTAGCCCTGGTAAGCATCCAAAATGCAACTCACCAAGACTTTTTGTATTAAAAAAAGAACAAACTTTTCATCACTCCTTCCTTGAAGTTACATAAGGAAGTTACATTGAATGGTGATGCACAACTTTAAGGAAGACAAAACCCCAATTCAATGGTCTTTATGGACTTTAGGGTCATCAACTAACTAGATGATTAACATTGACAACTAACTAATCATTATTGACTAGCTAATATAATTCAACTTTCCAGAAATTCATAAAAATATAAAGCTATACAAACCTTTTTCGGCTGCATTACATATATCACACGCGTAATCTAGTTAACAAGTTGAAACATTATATTTTGTTCTTTATTCTTAAATTTGATAGTACTAAAATATCACTTTTCCTCCCTCTTTGTTTTTTTGTTTTGGCTAAAGCATAGGTATCCTCTTATTGAAGGTAATCATATTCTAGGCATTGTTAGGCACTAAATGTGGGCACCTCTTTTAGTGGAGATTCGAACCTTGATTTGCCACGTTGTGAGGGACTAGCTCCTTCCGCTAGACTCAACTCCCGTTGGTTCCTCCCTCTTTGTTGATTGAGAGTTTTGTTATAGTCTAAGTTCAAAGACTTTCTTTCAATTTGTTAAAGCCTAAAACCGTCACTACATACATGTTGATCTGCAAATAATTTGCTTTGCAAAGAAGCCAATCACACTAGCTACGATAAACTTATGTGAAGGGGAATTAGAGAAAGAGAAAATAGGAGTAAATGAATGGGGAAGGAGCATGTGGAGGGAAATTAACAAGTGTGAAAGCTAACAGATATATTTGAAGAATGGTAGAAAAACACAAAACGAAAGAAAAAAGAAGCAATAAAGGAAAAGGGAGTGTGAAAGAAAGTGCGCATGTTTGTTTGAAGAAGGAGCTTGACTTTGAAGAAAGAACGTGAAACGTAATACTCACTTGTACAAAGTTTGGGAAGTTACATAATCTGGATGACAACGGTAACATTTCTGTAACACAATTTAAATGGAGAGTTTTGTACTATTGATTGGTCGACCACAATGGCTAATTATTTCGCCAAATTAAGCTGCAACCTGCTCATTATAATAGAAGCTTGATTTAAAAAATGTCAATGTTGTCCCAGCATCAATAATTATCATATCTGGATTGTTTCGACCTTGATCTGTACGCTGTGTATTTTTTTTTTGGGTCCAAACAGTGATACCTGTCAACAACCATTTCACTTATAATTACTAGACAATTTAGACCATGAAATAAATAGTCAAATATAATTTCACTTCATCATTAAGAGACTTCAATTACGATGATTTGCACGAATTATAATTGTGTTCTTGAGACTACAATTGCTATTTTCAGCAGCTAGTAGGATATAGAGGCTGCAATCACATGGATGGGGCTCTCATATCAGTGTTTCGGGTTACTGGCACTCAATCCTACATAGTTTGTTCATATATTATTTATATGTAAAAATTTAATTTTTGCACGAATTTGATTTTTCCTCACACATTTACTGGTAAGGACGACCAAGAGTAAAGGAAACTCTTACTCCTGTGTCTTGAAAAAAATAAATGTGATGCCCGGCAATGCGTGGTGGAAGTCGTTCTTAGTGAGATTGTAAATTTAATCTCGTTCAAGGCGTGAAAGATTTTAAGTATAGCATTTACGTAAATATTTTTCATAGTATACCGCAGCATCTCAATAATTTTTACTGTCCATAGCATATATGTGAAAAAGCCCTCTTGATCGCTATTCCATCTTTCTCTCTCTTCAATTCTCTTCCACTTTTGGCTTTTGCTTTATATGAATGACAATGGAATGAATGGAGTAGGAGGCAAGTGAGTGTACCAAATCTCGAAATCCGCAGCATCGCAGAATGTTCATTCGACAAAACCATACATACGTGAATTTGGTTCTTTTTTTTTCCCCCCTCCCTTTCAGTGTCTCATGGTGGTGGGTGGAGGTTTCTCTTGTTTGTGATTCCTTCATTCCTTATGGACACTGTTTCTTCTCATGGTGGAGTTTTCTTTGTGAAGTTTCACACTTCGCAGTTTTTGTTTATTCCATCTCTCTCTATCTTTGTTTCTTGTATCTCCAGAAGAATTAAGAGCTCGTCCTTTTTTCCATTATTGAGCCTTTTGTTTTTGCAAAACATGCAGTTAGCGTCTAGTTTGTGATGGTATAACATAATCGGATCGTTTAAATCAATAGCATGCAGAACGAGAAATGCATTCTCATCACAAAATTTATTATCTAATGTTACATGCAAGTCTTTTTCGACTATATGTAACATATTTTCATCAGTATACAAATGCCTTTCATTTTATGCTGATGTTGTACATAGTCCAAAAAAAGAGGTACGATCATTAAAAATAAGTTACACTGCATGTCTCTAAATATACTTTTGATTTGCCTTCAATGTTTTCTATTCTATTCTCCATTTTCTCCCACGTGGTTTTATCAGTGGCATGATTGTAATTATGATTGCTGTGGAAATAAGGACGAATATGCTGAGGCAGTTCCCCCCCCCCCCCCGCCCCCTCTCTTGGGCCAGTTGAGACAAGCCTACGACACTTTCGCTTCATCCTCCGCTTGCCTGCTCACGAACTCGCCTCTCTGTTCTCTCCTGCTCTGCCTCCGGCCAGTTTGACCTTTGCAGAGCCGTCGATTTCCGTCGATTCAGTGTAAGCATCGAGCTGGTCATTATGCTTATTGAGCTTGTGTTTTAGATGTTCTGTTCACTCCTCTTTTTCTAATATAAACTGGGCGCTTTTAAAATCTCTGTTAGTCGGTTTCTTGTTGTTCGTTCTCATCCCCGAATTACTTTTTGGCTTTATATTAAGTTCCATTTTTTATGCTGCCGAAGAGAGCCGTTTGCTTTAACGATGCACATTCTGATAAAGCAGGCAAAATAATTTGCTTTAACGATGCACCTTCTGATAAGCAGGCAAAGTGCCTATCTGTTTGTGCGATTTTGTGGTCCGAAGTTTTGTTTATTACTAGTGCCGATCAATTTCTAATAGGAATATTATGATTATTATGGTGGTTAGTCGATTGTGTATCTCCTTGTGAGTGACCGGCTATTACTTTTGTAATTCTGTTCAAATCTTTGTTCTGCTGTTGAGTGTATGACGATTTTGATGTCAAATTTACTATCATATTCTCTGTAAAACGTGTGATCTTTTGCTGATTTACTGTATTTGGACGTCATTTTACGCAATAAAGGAGCATGGAGAAGTGGTTATGCACATATTAAATTCAAAATTTCTGAGTTTTCCAAACCATCCATGCAACCAGCTCAAATTGATGCAATTTTCTCGTTGTGTTCAAACCATCGCGAATTGTTGTCAAACTTCGTTCCGTTCAAATCAGTTTCTAAAGGAGCTCTAAAAATCTGGCCAAATTGATGAACCCCGAAAAGTGTTTGACAGTCTGCCAAACGGGATGAGTACACTTGGAATACTATGATAACTGCTTATTTTAGTTCAGGAAGGCTAGCTGAAGCAAGAAAGGTTTTTGACGATATTCCTCGTAAAAGTTCTATGAAGTTAAACTTCCCTTAATTGTCGCTTTGGGGTTACTCCAAAAATTAACCGAATTAATGCAGTATAGTGCACAACTCGGGTCGTTTCACTTTGAGGAGCCGAAAACGAAATTAAACCCTAGTAAATAAATGCAAGTAACCTAAACTATAAAAAGAGATTTTCAATTTTGAAAAGCTGTTAATTAAATACTACGAATCAAATTGAAATTAAAATACTTTTTTTTTTGTTTTTATATAAAAGTGATTAAAATGAATGGAGATTAAAGAAGTGAAAATGAGACACACAAATAACACTGATAAAAATCAATCCTCCAATTCAACAACGCAGACAATCATCACTCTAAAAGATGTGGGAGTTAAAAACAATGAATTAAGAATTATAATTAAGCTTTTGATCCAACAACCGAGCCACCTCGAGTTGCCACAAAATATTTTCCTAAAATCCCAACTTACTAACTGCAACCAGAATAGTAAAATGGGATTAAGGATGCTAAAAACCAATACTTAATTAGAACTCTTAAATCCAAAATAACAGAATTAAAGCTAGCAAGAGACTATATGATCCAAAATTCTAAGCCACCTTAAAAAATCACAATATATTAATTCCAAAATCAATACAAATGTCATAACCACAACATTATAATTGAGATCAAAACTATAAACAGCCCAATGTCAAATACTAAGCAATAATTCAGTCACAATAATCCCTAAATATAATCAGATTAAGCAATACAATTATCCCAACAATCAGAAAAACTATCCTAAGACCTAGGAATTGTTAAACAATTATTGAGTAAGAAATTAAAGTAACTAGAACTCCCCCTTAAAGATCCAAGCTCCTGCCATTATTGTTGAATTGGAGAATCAGAGGATCTTAGCCACGGTTTGCCATCAAGTTTGCTGCCACAATCAGTATTTTGCTACAGGATCCCATGGAAGAACACTGTTCACGCTGAATTTGTCGTGCTCGTGCCGTCCAGCTCCTGCTCACCTCTGGTTCTGTGGTCACGCTGAGAAGAAGAAGGGATGAAGACGATGATGATGAAGGGACGCTGGAGATGATGATGAAGAGTGTGTCGCTCGCCGCCCCTCCTCGCTTGCGTCTGTGTCTACCCGTTCGTTGCCGCCGCTCAGCTCTGTTCCGTCTTTCTCCTTCGGCGTCTCTCCGTGAGAAGATGATATAATAGTGGATATTAGGGGTGGAGCAAAACGCTGCGTTTTGCTCCCCTTTTTATTATTTTATTATTTTTCTTTTTTTAATTTATTTTTTCTTTTCTTTTTTATTTTATTTTTTTATTTTTTATTTTCTTAATCTTCCAAAAACCTGCAAGCAAAAATTCAAAGATAAGGTAGCATTAATTGTTCTCAAAAATCAATTAGTCACAATTAAACTAAAATATGACAATTTTGCCCCTATAAAATAATAATTCAAAATAAAACATAACAAATCAATTAAGGCAAAAAGGGACCAATTAAGCTGACAAAACTCATATAAAAGATACCAAAATATATAAAAATAATTGAGTTTGTCAATTCCCCCACACTTAGCCTTTTGCACTCCTGGGCAAAACTTCATTAAAGAAGAATTCAATAAAGAGACTCAATGCAAGCAAACATAAAACTAACTAAGCATGAATGTGCAATTAACTCAAGTAACCTTTATTCCTAATTAATCAACAATCAAGAATACTTCAGTGCAAAGAAATTAACATAAGAAACATAGCAGAATAAAAGAAGAGAAACATAATAGAGCTCACATAGGGTACAAGTGTTTCACTCATCTCTTAAATGGGAAAAATTTCACTCAATCCACCTAGATTAGCACCTACCATAAGCTTGTAGAAATTCTAATATCTCCACCACTAACATACCTTAGGTTCATGATCAAGGGGACTTGAAGGGTTGTAATGTTGAAAAACAAGGCCAAATGAATGAATGGACTAACAAGTGAAATGCATGAGTAATAAAGTATCAACTCAAAGTGAGTTAAAGTACAATCATGAAACAACACCAATGTGCATATTTTAACCTTTTAAGACAGAAATCCTTGCTCTTCAAACCACCATGGAATGCCTTATTTCAAATTTATTCTTTTGTTGCAACTTATTTTCTCTTTTTTTTTTTATAACTTTCTTTCTTTGGCTTTTTCTAAACATTTTCTTCTCTTTCTTGCCTTTTTCTATTTCTTTTTTTTTTTTTTTTTTTTTTGGCATCCAAACCCAAGAAGGCAAAGATATAGATATTAATGATGTACGACTTTTCAAAATAAAAAATCCAAATGTAACTCATGCAAAATACTTGCTTGAAAAAAAAAATGAATGGAATGAAAGTGAAGGCTCAAAGGGGTGAACAAAGGTTAAATGAAGTGGTTTGTGTTTGGGTAAAGGTTTAGAAATGAATGCCCCTATCATCTTCACAAATCTAGGTATTAATGCAGCTTTGAAAAAGAATCTAAACAAGTTCTAGAGGTTAACCAAAACTAGGTGAAAATCACACAAGATGAGAAAAAATATATGGCTCAACAATCCTTCCATTAAGGCTTTCTCTAAGATGTTTTCTTCTTAAGGATCAAGCTATGAAACAAAGTTAATAACACTGCCCTAAAAGCATTCTACTATGCTAACCAACTAAGAACAGAAATCACTCAATTCAAATGCAATCAAACTCAGCCGTGCAATATTCACAAGCATTGTGCAAAAGGATTTTAAAAGAGATGCCCAATGATTACAAAAGTCAAGTCAGCAACAGAGAGAACATCAAATAGCCCATACAGCAGTGCAAAACACTGAGGCGAATGAAAATAGGAGGACACAGAAACTAGCAGCAAAATTCCCAAGCAAGAATCACTCTCAAATCATGCGATGCAATTCAGAAATCAACCAATAAGGCAAAGAAAAGGAGCAATTATAGCAGCAATACTTAGGAAACAGGTGCAAATCCAAAGGCAGAAATTTTTTTTTTCAAGAGAAAGCTCAACAACTCAACAACAATCCCTCCCCCACACTTAAATTTTGCATTGTCCTCAATGCAAAATCCAAGGACAAGGTAATGACAAGAGAAAAAGAGGATCAATAAGGGAGTAAACAAAAACAAGGTTACATTTCTACTAAAATAGCTCCCCCACACTTATCCTCTTCAATAATTCAGTTAAGCACAGTTAATCAATGCTAAGTTAAGAGAAAATAAGTGAGGAAAGAGACAACCTTATGCTTAAAGCGCCTTAGACTCTTAAAAGAGAAATTCTCATCAATAATGAGAAACATGAAACTTAGCAAAAAGGATTGCTCTTGATGATTGCACTTTCTTGGTGGTGGCTCAGGGTCAATTGAAAGAGGTCCAAGAGCATATGGTGGAGTTTGGTGTTGAGGAGATCCCTTCCAATTATGTGCCTGCACAGAAAACAAGCCAGCAGCAGTACCAAATCTAGCAATAGAGACTTCAAGAGATTTCAAATAAAGTAAAGACATTTTATGATCCAGGCTCTTCAAGTAGCTACAGCATCCAAGAAAGTCAATGATACTCCCATCAGTAGGAGTCAAACAATCATTTAAAGTTTCAAAACACTTAGGTTCATGTGACGTGGAAACTGAAGAATCCAACTGACAGTTATTGGAGTACAGCACATCACTATCACATTCACAAGAGGTGGGAGGTAAAAGGGTGGACGCAGAAGAAGATTCATACAGAATACTACTATTGACACAGCTAGCTAAGTCAGGAGGTAAGTCACAAGACAAAATTTGTTGAAAAGACTCATCTACATGCATAATTTTGTCAGTCAAAATTTCAGAGTCTTTCTCAACAACACTAGAAGCTACGAATTCAAAGGAATTTTCAGAAAGATAATTTCCAAGGCTATGTTCAAATTCGCATTTCTCCACAGGATTAACATCTAAGCAACTCACATCAATATCATGCTTTATATTGTCAGCACTTTTAGTACTAGAAGGCGATGCACACAGTTTACTAAAGTTCTGCTTTTGCAACCCAACAAGTATATCATACTTGTTATCAATGCACTCCATGCATATAGTGTGGGCATTACAAGAACAAGATAGAGGTTCGTTCAAATCAGAATCAATTGCACCATCTAATCTAGCACTAGAGAGAGAAGCATGTTCTTCATACAAAGAAGCAGTGACAGTGTAAGCAATATCATCAACTAAACAACTACTATTAGAAGTGTTCAAGTGAGAATTTTTATTGTTAAGCATTTGAGGGGATTCAATTATGATTTCCTCATCCACCTCATCATCACTCACATTATCAATAACTTCAACAGGAATAGTAGTTCTAGTACAAGGGTCAATCTCCTCAAGAACAGGAGCAATATTACCTGATGTAGGGCACGAGTCCTTGTGAGTTTGTAGATGTTCTTGCTTCCTCTCAGCCTCTTGCATGAGTGAATCTAGACACTTTGATTCATCTTTCCCAATCTCAGACTCAATTCGCGCTATATCACTCAAGAACTTTCCCAATGCATTTTGACATTCTTCTAGCTCTTCCTCTAATTCCTTAGAGATCCCAGATATCTCTTCCTCTTCAAGTAATCTATGGTAGTATGAATTTAAGCGGTCGTAAGCTTCTCTTAAAAATTGTATCTGTTCCTTCTTAGGAATAGTAAGAAATGGGTCAAGTTTATTGAATTCATGTTCATAAGATTGGGGAAGGGATTGGTATATGGATTGGGACAAGGGTTGGTGGTGGTATTCATATGGAAAAGGAGATGGTTCTTGGTGGCATGTATACGGTGGAGATATATGATTAAAGTATGATTGGTGAGGTGGGAGTGATGGGTTAGGTGATTGATGTAGATGATGGTTCATCCAAGAGGTGTCATGAGCATAGATGTGATTAGGCGTTTGAGACTCTAGCTGAGCTTGGAAAGAGTCTAATTGTTGTAACAACTCTTCAATCTCTTGAGAACATGTTGAATTAGAAGGTGCTGCATTCCAGGTACTATTTCCTGCAAAAAATTGAGAATGCGAGAATAGATCATGATTGCTATTAAACCAAGCCATGAAAAACAAAAAAAAACAAAAACAAATGCAAACTACTAAAAAAAAAAAAAACTAACAAAAATGAAAACTAAAAAGGCTCAACAAATGAATCCCAATCAAGGCTACTTGACACTTAATTACTAGGGAACCAATTTCTTGGCTCCCCGGCAACGGCGCCACTTGAAGTTAAACTTCCCTTAATTGTCGCTTTGGGGTTACTCCAAAAATTAACCGAATTAATGCAGTATAGTGCACAACTCGGGTCGTTTCACTTTGAGGAGCCGAAAACGAAATTAAACCCTAGTAAATAAATGCAAGTAACCTAAACTATAAAAAGAGATTTTCAATTTTGAAAAGCTGTTAATTAAATACTACGAATCAAATTGAAATTAAAATACTTTTTTTTTTGTTTTTATATAAAAGTGATTAAAATGAATGGAGATTAAAGAAGTGAAAATGAGACACACAAATAACACTGATAAAAATCAATCCTCCAATTCAACAACGCAGACAATCATCACTCTAAAAGATGTGGGAGTTAAAAACAATGAATTAAGAATTATAATTAAGCTTTTGATCCAACAACCGAGCCACCTCGAGTTGCCACAAAATATTTTCCTAAAATCCCAACTTACTAACTGCAACCAGAATAGTAAAATGGGATTAAGGATGCTAAAAACCAATGCTTAATTAGAACTCTTAAATCCAAAATAACAGAATTAAAGCTAGCAAGAGACTATATGATCCAAAATTCTAAGCCACCTTAAAAAATCACAATATATTAATTCCAAAATCAATACAAATGTCATAACCACAACATTATAATTGAGATCAAAACTATAAACAGCCCAATGTCAAATACTAAGCAATAATTCAGTCACAATAATCCCTAAATATAATCAGATTAAGCAATACAATTATCCCAACAATCAGAAAAACTATCCTAAGACCTAGGAATTGTTAAACAATTATTGAGTAAGAAATTAAAGTAACTAGAACTCCCCCTTAAAGATCCAAGCTCCTGCCATTATTGTTGAATTGGAGAATCAGAGGATCTTAGCCACGGTTTGCCATCAAGTTTGCTGCCACAATCAGTATTTTGCTACAGGATCCCATGGAAGAACACTGTTCACGCTGAATTTGTCGTGCTCGTGCCGTCCAGCTCCTGCTCCCCTCTGGTTCTGTGGTCACGCTGAGAAGAAGAAGGGATGAAGACGATGATGATGAAGGGACGCTGGAGATGATGATGAAGAGTGTGTCGCTCGCCGCCCCTCCTCGCTTGCGTCTGTGTCTACCCGTTCGTTGCCGCCGCTCAGCTCTGTTCCGTCTTTCTCCTTCGGCGTCTCTCCGTGAGAAGATGATATAATAGTGGATATTAGGGGTGGAGCAAAACGCTGCGTTTTGCTCCCCTTTTTATTATTTTATTATTTTTCTTTTTTTAATTTATTTTTTTCTTTTCTTTTTTATTTTATTTTTTTATTTTTTATTTTCTTAATCTTCCAAAAACCTGCAAGCAAAAATTCAAAGATAAGGTAGCATTAATTGTTCTCAAAAATCAATTAGTCACAATTAAACTAAAATATGACAATTTTGCCCCTATAAAATAATAATTCAAAATAAAACATAACAAATCAATTAAGGCAAAAAGGGACCAATTAAGCTGACAAAACTCATATAAAAGATACCAAAATATATAAAAATAATTGAGTTTGTCATTCTATCACTTGGTCGTGCCTTATTTCTGGGTATTGTCAATATGGGTATGGATATGAAGTTTTTGATTTGTTCCAGCAAATGAGGTTGGAGGGTCAAAACCCCAGCCAATACACTTTAGCAAGTACACTAAGGGTATGTTCAATGTTAGGACTGATCCAAAGTGGGGAATTGACCCATGGGTATGTGTTAAAGTCTGGATTAGAATCTAATGTCTGTGTTTTGACTAGTCTCGTTGATGTCTATGCTGAGTGCACGCGCAAATCACAAGCAAAATATCTCTTCAAGTTCTTGCCTAACAGTAGAGAAAATCATGTTCTCTGGACATCTATGCTTAGTGGTTATGCTCATAATGGAGATGGTCACAAGGCAATCGAGTTTTTCTGTGATATGCACAAAGAAGGGGTTGAATTGAATCGTTTTACATTTCCAAGCATATTGACAGCATGTTCTGCTGTTTCATCTCGATGTTTTGCCGAACAGGTGCGTGGTTGCATTGTTCAGATTTGGGACTAGCATATATGTTCATAGTGCACTGGTTAATATGTATGCAAAATGCGGAGACCTGAATGGTGCTAAAAAGCTATTGGAAGCTATGGAGGTTGATGATGATGTTTCATGGAAATCCATGATATTTGGGTGTGCGATGCACGGGTTTGAAGATGAAGCTCTCCTTTTGTTCAAAAAAATGCATGCAAGAAATATGAAGATTGATGATTATACATTTCCATCTGTCCTAAATTGTTGCATAATGAGGCTAAAGAATTGTCAATAAGTCAGTTTATAAGTGGAGTTGTTTGGATTATTATTGAAAAAGTGAGTTTTATTGTAAGAGGACCAAAAAAGGCGTGATATTAAATAATACATGTAATTTATTATTTCTCTTCTACTATACTCTTTAGTTATATTTTTCTATATATTTTATTTTATACCTTTTCTCATTTATTATAATAGCACATTTGAAATTAAAAGTATATTTATAACCTATTTATTACTTCTAATTAATTTCAACTAATTTTGTATTATCCATAAATTAATTATTTGAAACTTATAATAAAAACTAGAAGGAATAGTAAACTTTTTAAAGGTGAGACCGAACTATTTTCTAAATTAACAAGTTTGTAAAAATAAAGTTATTTAGATTATGGTTGAAATAATAAATTTAATTGTAAAATGACTGAAGATGAATTTTATTAAATATATATATCATATGTACATAATACCATACCAAGAGAAAGTTCAAAAAACTAATAATAAAAAATAACTGAAATGCAAACTGCTAATCCCCTACCACATTATTGTCATTTTGAATTTTTGATAACATGAGTGAGTGACCCTATAGATAAGGACAAAAATAATCAAAGCACTCCCACTTCCACATTCTTTTTCTCCTCCGCAGTTATTAAGCACAGTTGAAAAGGTAAAAGTAAGATATAATATGCTTTTTCAAATAGCATAATTTAAGTAGTTTTTGACCCATAAGTTAAATGGAGCAAAAGCTATTCCAAACTGGAAAAAGAAAAATTATCCAAATGTGCTTGTTAATAATAAGTTGCTTATAAGTGGGTGGAACGCCAACCCAAATAGGGCCTAAAAGAGGTCTGAACTTATTCTCCCGAGGCACACCAAAAAAATTTTGACCAACCAAACCATCCAGTCCTTTAATTATATAATGTGAAGAAAGTATATGTAACAAAACAAATGCAAGTATCCAGCTGTGAATAAACAAGTAAAATAAGAAGATTTACAATGCGAATGGGACTATTTATAAGAAACATAAGAGAATTATTTCACCTATACACTTGTAAATTCATTCACACCTAGCTAGACATAAGATTTGTGTAGCAAATCTTCTTATTTCTTTTGGTCATCCACATTTGGATACTCATATTTGTTTATTACATATAGTTTATTCTTTGTATTATATAATTAAATACATTGGTTGGCTTGGTGGTTGTAATTTCTTTTTGGTGTGCAAAGGGTCATAAGTTCAAATCGCCCTTGGCTATCTTATTTGCATAAAATTCTTTGATAACCAGAGCTTTGGTAGCCAGTCACAAGAGGTTAGAATGGCAACTAGCCACCAGCACTCTGGTGGCTAATCACCAAAGGTTAAAGATTTGGCAGTCGAAACTCTTTTGACAATTGATATTTTTTAACTGAAAAATTAATCAACAACAATCATGTCTTTTCACTTGTAAAATTTAATTTCATTTTGATCTAAGAGGGTGTTGTAATATTTCAGAATGTTTTGGAATTTAGAAATTATCTTGCTGCAATATTGGCTATCTTGAATTTTTCCAATAAATTATCATAAAATAAAATTTATAGTGAGTAAGAAAAATGACCACAACTTTACAGTTAGTATAATTTTCACTCTCTCTTTTCATTAAAAATTTTCAAAAAATAATTTAGATTTGGTTCTTTATTTTCACATTTAGTTTTATAAAAGAAAAATCTTTTTTCAAAACCCCTTTCTTTTTTTATGTTTTTTTTCACTTAGTTAACTTAGAAAGTAACAAAAAGTTCTTCAAGAGACATGACATGAGTTGTGTTTTACTATATAATTTGATTAAAAAGGTTCAAATCACCACAACTTAATTCCTAATATTAACTCCAAATATTCAATGAAGATGAATGTTCCAATCCATACATGAACTATCTCCATCAAAAAATACTCTTCTTTTAGGTTAGGATCATTCTTGTAGTTAAATTAAAGATATCACCCAATATTTCACTGAAAAAAAAAACAAGAAGAAGAAGATATCACGCTATAAAAATCACGGGTTGGAATCTCTCTTCTTCCCTCCTCTTTCTTTTCTAACTATTGAATTAACATATTTCAACTGTTGAGATTTTAATTTTTATAAACTATTTTAAAAAATTTAAAAATACTTAGTGCATTTGCAAACCATTAGAATTAAATTTTAATAGAGTTTGTAATTTATTATTATTTATTTTTATAATTTAATATTTTAATAATAGTTTTAAAAAGATTTAAATCGCAATAGTTAGAAAATGAAAAGGAGGGAAGAGGATGGGAAGGAAAGAGGATGGGTTACGAACCGATAGTAATAGATAGATACTCTTCCCGTTATATAGTTCTCATTTAATTTAGCATCGTTTTTAAAGTGTTCTTTTATTAGTTCAAAAGCTAGTTATAAGCCTCAGACGCTCATCGGATACTTCCAAAAACATGGAATATGTGTGTGTGTGTTGGGTTTACAGTGCCTATATTTCACTTGAGCTAGATCACCCAAGTACATGATTCATCATTAAGCATATAACTCTATCGATGGGACTTGAAATCTCTACTGTTTAATTAGTACAGTCGCCGGGAGGAAAAGAAACTTTTCTCTAATCTACATCAAAGTCAATCTGAGCCACGTTTCCATAAATGGAATTTCCCTTTGTGGGAGACATTGCAAGGCACGGCACATCGTTGGATACGAGAAGGAATAGGTGCTGAGGTTTTAAGGAAATGTTGGCCCCGTAAAATCAACATCAAAGTTTGGAAGATTCTTGATGGAGTTAACATTGGTGTAACACAAATTGAATTGAGGGTTTTACACTATCCATTGCTCGTAAATGCTTGATCGCAGGAGTGTCAATGTTCAATCAGTCTGTCGCTTTGATCAATCTGCACTATCTGTTGACCGCAAAATAAAGATTCATATATAATATACTATTTCAAGAATCATTTGAATTCACAAGTTCAAGAATCATTTGAATACGCAAAAAAAATAACATTAGTCTCAAAGTAAAACAGATATATACCTTCAAGATTGAGGTGGTAAAAAATGGGATGATTAGGATTGGCAATCATGGGAGTGGACACGACCCCATTTGGCTTCTTCTCCGAATCTCAACTTAGTTGCAGCCTTTGTGTCGAAAGGAGGCAAACAGTAGGAAAATCTCCGACCAATCTGATTGCCAAGTTGTGAACTTAGGGACCAACTGAAGGACCATTACGAAGTCCAACAAGTCCTCCCATGCGCCTATTGAACTTCCCAAGATTGTTATGTCCACATCCAAACACTGACTTAGGGAACGAAACAGATTGGCCATCACTAGTACCAAAACCGATTGAATCTGTAGCCAAATCTCCCACCGTGTGAGACTGATCTCCATATAAGTAAAGGTACAAACACTGATTTGAGTTTCCACATTTATGTTGACGCTGAGGAAGAAGAGCACAGTTTCTTGAGCCACAAGACTGAGACTTGTAGGTGGAAGATTTTGTGGGATCAAACAATGAGACATCTTGAAGATAGCATTGACGACAAGGTGAGCATTGGACGACCCAAATCAGGTCGCTTCCTGTGTCTGCAACACTCCATCTTTCTACAGGTGGCCTACCAAGGAAGATCTTCATAAGATAACTTCCATAGTCTGGGATTATATATATACACTACCTTCTGTCCTAATTATAAGACTTTGTTTATAGTCTACAAATAAGATCTTATAATTAATGCCCGAAGTAATATATTAGTTTGAGCCAGCTGGTCACTTATTTCAGCTGCATTTTGGGAAGAAGATTGGTGAAAACAATTGACTCGAGCCGGGGAAATGCAGGGTACTGATTATTTGGTGAAAGGTTATGCATGTTTGAAGAACAATAATAGTGGAGAAACACAAAGGAGAATTGATGAGTGAAGAAGGAGAGGTTGAGGGTGAATGAACGACAATGATTATGGAGCTCTCAGTTTTTTCCCTTTATCTTTTTTGTTTCTTATCCAAACTCCATAAATAAAGCAAGCACTGGCCTGTGTGGGTTGTGACTTGTTAATAATTAGTGTTGTCGATCGAGTGCTTTTTGTTTTCTGTTGGCTCAAAGGCATCTGTACATTGCGTACACTGTTAGATACAAGACTAAGTGGCTTCAGCTAGAAATATGTAAATATGTGGAGAGAGATGAGTGAGGAAGGGAGTAGCTGTAAAAAATATGTGTGCGCTGCCCCCATATATTTTTCTGAGTTGTCAAGTTGTTTTCTTTTTCTTTTCATCATTAGGTTCTATATAAGATGAACGACATTTTAATATATGTTATGGATAAAAAATGGTATTTCTTTGAATTCCGCAAATTAATTTAGTTATAAATTGAGTTAACTTGAGAAAAATAGGTTCTGATTTAAAATTTTTTACATCTCAATGGTCACGATTCACTCCGATTTAATTAATTGGTATTTACAACCGATCATCTTCCAAGATCTATATTTATGCTTTGTTGACTTAGTAAACAAGTATTTCTTTTTCCTTTTTCTTTTGGTGATCATGTTTATCAAGTTTTTTTTTTCTTTTCAAAGCATTATTCACCTTGAAACTATCATCTGGAAAATTCGAGCAATTGATTTATAATTATCTTCACTATAGGGGTGCCATCTTCTCAGTTTCGTTTTTTAAATTCTAATCTATTTTACAACTCTCTGCTGCTATATTCATTTCACTCATCTGCATCTGGACTGCATAATATATATATATATATAGAGAGAGAGAGAGAGAGACTTATATCGCTA